AGCTGTCAGCACAGAGCTCAACATGGGGCTCGAACTCATGAGCCATGAGATCATGACCTGAGCTGAAGTCGGCCCCTTAACCAACTAAGTCACCCAGGCACCCCCAAAGCAATCTTGACAGAAGAAAAGCAAAGTTGGGAGCATCACAATTCTGGATTTCAAGTTTTATTACAAAGCTGTAATAATCAAAGCAGTATGGTACTGGCACAAAAACAGAAACAAAGATCAATACAACAGAATAGAAAACCCAGAAATGAACTCACAATTATATGGTCAATTAATCTTTGACAAAGCAGGCAAGAATATGCAATGGGAAAAAGACAGTGTCTTCAACAAATGCTGCTGGGAAAAATGAACAGCTACATGCAAAAGAATGAAACTGGACTATTTTCTTACATCAAACACAAAAATAAATTCAAAATGGATTAGGAACATAAATGTGAGTACTGAAACCCTAAAAATCTTAGAGGAGAACATAGACAGTGACATAAGCCATAGCAACTTATTTCAAGATATATCTCCTGAGGCAAGGGCAACAAAAGCAAAAATAAACTACTAGAACTATATTAAAATAAAAACAGCAAAGGAAGCAATCAACAAAAGTAAAAAGGTAACCTATGGAATGGGAGAAGATATTTACAAATGACATATTTGATAAAGGGTTATTATCCAAAATATATAAAGAACTTATAAGACTCAACAGCTTAAAAATGAATAATTCAATTAAAAAATGGACAGAAGACTTGAACATTCTTCCAAAAGATGACATACAGATGGCCAACAGACACATGGAAAAGATGCTCAACATCACTGATTATCAGGGAAATGCAAATCAAAACTACAATGAGATTTCACTTCACACCTGTCACAATGCCTAAAATCAACAATACAGAAACAACAGGCGTTGGTGATGATATGAAGAAAGAGGAACCTTCTTGCACTGTTGGTAGGAATGAAAGCTGATGTAGCCACTGTGGAAAAGAATATAGAGGTTCCTCAAAAAGTTAAAAATAGAACTACCCCATGATTCATCAGTCATACTACTGGGTATTTACCCAAGGAATACAAAAATAAATTGAAGAGATACACGAACTCTGATGTTTATAACCACATTATCTATAATAGCCAAATTATGGAAAAAGCTCAAGTGTCCACTGATTGATGAATGGATAAAGAAGATATGGTGGGGGTGCCTGGGTAGCTAGTTGGTTAAGCGTCTGGCTTTGGCTCACGTCATGATCTCAAGGTTTATGGGTTTGGGCCTCGCATCGGGCTCTGTGCTGACAGTTGAGAACCTAAAGACTGCTTTGGATTCTGTGTCTCCTTCTCTCTCTGCCCCTCTCCACTTATACCTTCTCCTCTCTCCATCTCTCAAAAATTAATAAACTTTAAAAAAATTAGAAAAAAAAGAAGATACGGCATGCGCGCGCGCACACGCGCACACACAATGGAATATTACTCAGCCATAAAAAAGAATGAAATCTTGCCATTTGCAATGGCACAGATGGAGTTAGTACTATGGTAAGTGAACTAAGTCGGTCAGAGAAACACAAATACCATATGATTTCACTCATATGTGGAATTTAAGAAACAAAACAAATGAGCAAAGGGGAAAACAAAAGAGAGAGGCAAACCAAGAAACAGACTCTTAACTATAGAGAACTGATGGTTACCAGAGGGGAGGTGGGGGGGATGGGTTAAATAGGTAATGGGGATTAAGGAGTACACATGTGATGAGCACTGAATATTGTATGCAAATGTTAAATCACGATACTGTACAACTGAAACTAATATTATATTGTATGTTAACTAACTGGAATTTAAATAAAAACTTATTTAAAAAAGGGCCAATCTATTAACACAAGCAACAGCACTGATAAATCTCAAAAGCATTATTTTAAGTGAAAGAAGCCCGAAAAAAACTACAAAGCATATGATACTATTTATATGACATCCTGGCAAGGGCAGAATTTCAGTATTAGAAAGCAAATTGGCAATTGCCAGGGGCTGGCATTTAGGATGTGATGGAAATGTTCCATGTTAGTTGTAAGAGTGGTCACAAGACCGTATGCATTTGTAAAACTCTTCTCTTGAAATGGATGAACCATACTATATTTTATATAAATTATACCTCAAGGAAGCTAAATTTAAAAACCTTACTTTAAAAAATATTCCAAAGTGAAAAAAAAGTGGTAAAATGGGATTTAAAAATCTGTCACATAAATTACAAGCCCCTGAAAATGTTTTTTATTAAGATATATTGGGGCGCCTGGGTGGCGCAGTCGGTTAAGCGTCCGACTTCAGCCAGGTCACGATCTCACGGTCCGTGAGTTCGAGCCCCGCGTCAGGCTCTGGGCTGATGGCTCGGAGCCTGGAGCCTGTTTCCGATTCTGTGTCTCCCTCTCTCTCTGCCCCTCCCCTGTTCATGCTCTGTCTCTGTCTGTCCCATAAATAAATAAAAACGTTGAAAAAAAATTAAAAAAAAAAAAAGATATATTAACTGAATTAGGAAAGTTGGATGATGAATCAATTGTGGCAAAACAGGTAGTGAGTCCAGGATTTCAGATCATAGGTCTTGCCAATTTCTCCAGCTCTGGTACTTGGGCATGCAGCCAACAGATGATACAAGCATGTAAGAAAACCTCCACATGCCTTTCAAGAATTTCAAATTCATTAAGTCCAAAAGAGAATTAATATCTATATGTTTCCCCATCGCTCACCACAACCTCGTCCTACCCCTCATCTTCTGAGAAACCAGTTTCTCTTCTGATTCCCTAATGAATAAACCACCATATATCCAATTAACCAAGTCAGAAATCTAGGAATCTTTGACACTTCCCATTTGTCTTATCCTTCACATCCAGTGGCACAATAAGCCCTATGTTTTAGGCCAATTTGCTTCCTAAAATATCTTTCAAATCCCTTCACATCTTATTATCCCTGGTATCACAGCCTTAATTCAAGCCACCTCTATACTATACTTTAGATTACTACAAAAATTTGCTAACATATCTTCTTGCCTCCAAAGTTGTCTTATTACAACCCATTTTCATACAACAGTTAGGGGGAGTTTTTCTAAACTACAAATCATGATATTCCTCTACTTAAAAGGTTTCGGTGGCTACCTACTACTCTAGTGTAGAAGTCTAAACTTCTCACCATGGATTAAAAAACTCAGTCTCTTCCTACCTTTTCGATTTGTTTCTCACTATAGGCTTCCTTACACTTCAAGATGTGGTCATACTGATTTTTTTTTTTTTCCAATTCCTTAGTATACATTGTTCTGTCTCGTTTCCAGGCCTTTTTATATATTCTGTCCTTCTACCTAGAATACTTTTCCCTAATCCGAACCTAATTTCTATCCATCCTTTGAGACTCAACATGAACATCATTTCATACAAGAAACCTTCCTTAACCTTCCATTAGATTCCTCTCTTAGGTGTGTGTATGGCATCCTGCACTTCACCAATGGCACACACTACACTTTGCTATAATTACTTATCGAAAAGTCTAGAAGCTCTCCTCCACAAAGGCAGGGTTTATATCTTGTCAGCCAAGGGTACACTCCCAGTTAGTACAGTACATGTGACATACTAGGTGCTCATATTTGCTATGCAAATGAGATTGTACTGCAGCCTTACTATCAATCAATCCTCAATTCAGATATCAGCACAATTCCAAACGCTACCAGAGCCCTTAAAAAAAAAAAAAGGAAAATTAGTTAAAATTCTTTGTTGCTCTCTACTACTTTTTCTGTACCCCCTGCCTCATCACTTTGTTTCTTTTTTCCTACATGCCGGAGACCAACTATTCTTATGTTCTCTAAGGTTGTTTAAAGTTTCTTTTTTTTCTTTTTTAATTTGTTTTAATGTTTATTTATTCTTGACACAGAGAGAGACACAGCATGAGCAAAGAAGGGGCAGAGAGAGAGGGAGACACAGAATGTGAAGCAGGCTCCAGGCTCTGAGCTGTCAGCACAGAGCCCAACGCAGGGCTCGAACCCAAGAACTGTGAGATCATGACCTGAGCAGAAGTCAGATGCTCAACCGACTGAGCCACCCAGGCGCCCCAAGGTTTCTTAAACCAATCAGATCTGACTTCCAGTTCTAAGTTTCTTTTCCCTTCTTCCTATGCAATTAAAATTACTACTTCTGAAGCCAAATATTCAAATAAACTAATTAAAAGAATAATATAACTGGGAATCTTAACTTTCTCATAGGCTTTCTTTTTATTTAACAGTTTATTACATTATTCAATTCATAAATGTACTGTATGCTCATTAGAGAAATTTGCCCCATCTCACAATCACTAATAATATTTAAGTCTTATTTCCTTCTGGTCTTTTTTCTCTAAATATTGTGCATATGCAACATTTGTGTGTTTTATACATTTGTGGGTCTATTGTTTCACTAACCACTGTAATATAAGCACTATCCATATCATCAAAAGCTTTTTAAAAAACAACTACAATACTATTTAATTGGAATGATATATTATGTGTTATATAATTATTCCCCTGGGGGCATTTTCATAGACAACCTGGCTCACCCAAATCCATCTTTAATTAAACATGTATAAGGATTTTTTTTCAGCACGAAGCTCCCAAATTCCTTTTAAATTCCAGTTATTTCCACTATCATCACCACTACATGTCCTTCAACCTTCTTCCATATTCAGTATACGAAATAATGTAATTTATGAAACCAAAAATGTACCACACATCTAATTCTGCTTTAGCTTTTTGATAAGGATGTGTTAGAAAGAGACAGAGAGACACAGGGGAGTGGGGGGAGAAGAAGGGACAAAAGGACGAGGGGGAAAGGAAGGGAGATAAAGAATTATAAAATATGGGTGGCACAACAAAATTAAACATTTTGAAATGTTTACTGCTCGCTGTCAGGGTATCAAAACTGTATCTGCATACACATCTTTCTTTCCATTAAAAAAAATTTATTACCCTGGTTCCTCTAAAAACATCTTAAAATCATATTATCTCTTACCAGTGCCAATACATTTAGAAATTCTCTTGTGTCAAAATGTAGCAAAGTCCGAACATAGGGGTAGATTTCTTCCTCAGGGGAGGCTTCTGCTGAATGCAGGCGAATCAGAAATTCAAAAACCTTCAAGTTTAAAAAAAAAAAGTTGACGATCTTCTCTCCTTACAAAGTTATCTTGCTGAAGCAACAACTGCCAGTTGGACAAAATAAAGGCAGGTGGAATTTAGTTTAAATTGCCACCATGTTGTAACTTCTCTAACCTGATTCCGCTATCATTACTGGCTGTAGTGATTGTGGGTAGGTCCTCTCCTACCATAGCAGATAGCTCCTGACTCACGTGTAACCTTCAATTACAGTTCATCTATAGTACATATTAACAAGAGGTGTGGAAATAGCACCAACCTGGTTTTTAACCAAGGGAACAAGATCTTCAGGGATGTCACCAAGGGGATAGGCTCGGCCTGCTAGACAACAGCTAGAAGAAAAGGAGAACAGATTTGGTGACTTATAATGGGCTAACTTCCAGGTAACACATTGTTTCTCAAACCCAAGATACTCATTTGGTGTTTAAGCACACTCGGCTTTTGTCACATCAAGTTCAAACTTGATCAAGATGAGAGCCAGTTCAGAAAATGTGAGCAACAGGGATGGTGGTGAAATAAACACATCCTGTGACAGAGTAAGCACTTCCATTTCTTCTTATTTTTCCTAAAAGAAACCTACGCCACGCTAAGTGGACAGGAAGGAATGAGAACAGACTATCTGAAAGTCTCATACTCAGCACCAGAAAAATACCTAATGGCACCATTACGTTATGTTTTACCAGTGAAAAGCCTAATGTTCTCACAAACTTCAAACCAGTGGCTCTAAGAACAGTGATTAAAGACAGGGAACAAGCTAGTGTAACAAAGGTCTGGAAAATGTCTGCTACAGAACAAGTCTTCAGGGAGAGGAGAAACTGATGAGAAATTAACTATACAGTTTTACCTCCAAATCAGACCTTCCTTATGGCTAATGTTTTATGGTTTATGCCTTGCGGGTTCAACTATAAAGATGTCTTCTGTTGGGGCGCCTGGGTGGCACAGTCGGTTAAGGGTCCGACTTCAGCCAGGTCACGATCTCGCGGTCTGTGAGTTCGAGCCCCACGTCAGGCTCTGGGCTGATGGCTCAGAGCCTGGAGCCTGTTTCCGATTCTGTGTCTCCCTCTCTCTCTGCCCCTCCCATGTTCATGCTCTGTCTCTCTCTGTCCCAAAAATAAATAAAAACGTTGGAAAAAAAAATTAAAAAAAAAAAAGATGTCTTCTGAATATGTCCTCATTCTGGGGGGGAAAGGCACAAATTTTAAACTTCTTTGAACTAGCCATCAATTTTGAATGTTGGATTAGAGACAGCATATTCTAAGAAATTTCAAGTACAGACAATAAAGTACTGGGGAGATGCTGTATATGTTCTTCTAAAGAATCGATGTAACAAGTGTGAAACAGGTCTCAAAGTTAACTCTGGCACTAGATAGGAGCTAAAATGATGCTTTGGCAGGTTCTGCCACCTTCCGCCCTGCCACCCTGCCAGCCAGCTATCTGTCCAAAAGTTCTATTGGGACATAATTCTGAGCCTCCATAGTTTGTGGAAAGAATTCTGTTTGAGGAGTAAGGAGAGGAGATAAACATTTCACAGCTTAACCTCTGTCACTAACTTTTTCATGACCTAAACACATCTCTTGCCCTTTTATAAAAAAGAGAGAGAACACATATTCCACAGAGTTTCCAGTGCTAAAAATAAAATACTCTACCACCAGGCTTTCTCAACCTCAGCCTTATTGATACTTTGACAGAGATAATCCTTCATTGTATGGACTACCCTATGCACTCAGCAACATCGCTGGCCACCACCCATTAGATGCCAGCAGCATATCTCTCCCAGCCCCAAATGTGACAAGCAAAAATGTCTCTAGACATTGCCAAAGATCGGGGCGGGGGG